GCAATTCTGTTCCCGCTAATCCTTTCATCATTCAGAGATAGCTGTGCGGCCTTGGACTGACTCGGTGCACTGAACCGAGAAGAGATCCTGCTAGAGAACCTTGCTCTGATATTCTTGACTTCTTTAGCAGAGCTGTGCGACCTGGGTGGACTGACTCGGTGCAATGAACCTAGAACAGGTACTCGGCTATCTGTACTTCCCCCGTCTGTCTCTGCTATGTTTGCAGGTCAAGTCGGACTGACTCAGTGCACTGAACCTGACAGTGCACTGAACCTAGAACAGATCCACGGAGTATAAAGCTGACACAGTTCTATTCGGACTGACTCAGTGCACTGAACCTGGCAGTGTATCTTGTGGCAGATTGATATTCCTGCAACTATGTGAGCTTGCTTGCCCTGGCCCTGCAGCTGACCCCAATCCTGGGGGGTTGCTATCAAGTCTCGGGTTTTTGTTTATCTATTTGGCAACCTATGTTGCTTATCTAACCACCACCTGCATGCCTGCACGAGAACCACAACAGTTTCGATGGCTACCGTCTTCAGTGGAATAGAATGCCCGGTCATTATAGCCCCCGTATTTGGTGGAATTTTGAGTCCAGATTCCAGCTATAACGACCGGGCGTTCTATTCGGGTGAAGACGGTAGTACATGGAAGTTGCCTTCCTGCTCCCCCGCAACACTCTCATTGCCATCCCAGACGTTCCCCGTTTTTTTTTTTGTTGTTGTTTTGCCGCTTAACCTGGTCATCACATGTCTTTTCCCTCAGATCCTCTGGTATCTGTAATTCCGCCGTCCTGCAGCTTTATATTCGATGCTATTATTCGTGTTAACTGTATTGGTCTGCTGTGCTGACCCCTGCAGCTGATCCCAATCCTGGGGGGTTGCCTCCGAGTCTCAGAGAGGTTTTTATCTATTGGGAAACCTTTTTGTTGCGTACCTGGCCATCCTTTGCCTGTGCGAGAACCACAACAGTTTCTTCGGCTACCGTCTTCACCCGAATAAAACGCCCGGTAATTATCGCTGTATCTGGGCTGGAAGTTGTGCCAAATACAGCTATAATGACCGGGCGTTACTCTGAGTCAGAAGTCACCTTCCTGCTTCCCCAGAATGCCCACCTCACGCCCCATCACTTCCCTGACATTCCCGCGCTTTTTCTTTTTTTTTCCCCAAGTCATGTCACAGAGTCGAAGTAGAGTCCAAAAGCAAAGCAAAATAAAAAGCTCAACGGAGTCTTCTTTCCCCGCTCATTCTTCCAAGCCCGTTCTCTTGGCTGCGGTTTGTCAGGATGGTAGTTTTGGGACAGTAGGAATCCCATTGATCCATTTCTCTGTGGTTGCAGTTTTCAGGTATGAGAGGGGAAGGTGCTGTCTTCCAAAAGTAGTCCACATGCCCAGCTTCCGGAAGTGTCTGTTTCCGCAAAACAGCAATCTAGTCCACTGGGCCTCTGGGTAAAGTTTTTGTGTTTCTCAAAGGAAGAGGGGGAGCTGTCTCTTATACACATCTAGATGTGTATAAGAGACAGCTCTCAATCTGCGCATCCTGAAAAACTCCCTTTGCTTTTTGAAGTCCAGAACTTGAGAGTAGGTGCAGCGATGCCTGTTCGACGGATTTGGGAGT